TGCCCTGATGGATGTCCTGCCTTTCCTAAGTGTTTAACCATGTTTTTATACATCAGGTGGTGCCACCTCATCTCTGGTGCCCTGATGGATGTCCTGCCTTTCCTAAGTGTTTAACCATGTTTTTATACATCAGGTGGTGCTCTGGTTCTGTTATAAGACTAACTAGAGACACAATCTTTGCATCACGTCGATTTATTTTTTTAAATACCTCCCATTAATTGTCGTTCATGTCTGGGATTCACAGAAAGAGAAGGAGACCGACTTGTTGGACCACACCCCGGATGATGAACGAATTGTGACCCTGTCCTCTGATGCGGAGGAGCCCAGCACCGAGGAGCAGGTGCAGATGCTGCACTCAGCCCTGCGGAAGTGCCTCGGCCTGCTCCACTGTGTCATCCTGAGGGAAGAGGAGGAATGGGGCAAACTGGAGGGCAGCTATGAGACCAAGAAGGAGAACGTGCGAACCCGACTGGAGCACCTGCTCCACACTACCAAAGATCTAGTGGGGTCCGAGGACACGGCCCTGGAGGTCACCCCAGATCACCCGTGCAATGAGGTGGTGTTTAAATTTCTCTATGTCCCATCCACTTATGATCAGGCACCCTTTGAAAGTAACCATAACAAAATATTAATAAATCACCTCACAAAATAAAAAAAAGGTTTAATACTTGCTTATTTTCTGCTTTTATAAGAATTTTATCTCGGTGTCGCAAAACCTAAAAATTTAGAGCTGATAGTATTGTGTTAACTTTATATTATTATTATTATTATTATTATTATTATTTAGATTAAAGACCTGGTATTTCTTTAATGACAAATGCATCCTTTAATCCCAGTTTTGAACCAAGTTATTCTTATTTTAATAAATGATGGAATTAAGCTATTTTTATCAAATCCAGAAAGTAGGCCTGGGTGAAAAATCGATTGATTAATTATTTTGAGTTTGTTTGTTGCAGACGATAAAAAAAACTAAATGTGTTTTTATGCAACAGCGCCTTTTTGGTGCCTCAGATCTTCCATTAGCAGTAGTTTCCCATAAGGGTATGGCGAGCGACAATAACATCATAGCACACACAAATCTGCAACAGCAAGAGACAACATGGCTACCGGTGAGAGTGGGAAGTTTGTTCCTAAGAAAGGAATTAAATCATCTCAGACGTGGAGCAAGAAACCCCACACCGCAACATTTGCCTAAAGCCCATTGCAGTCGAAGGCAGCAAGAGGGTTTTCATTTCTTCATTATTCATCTCAGAATTGAGGGTTACATTTGTCTTGCTTTTGATTAAATAAAAGCAAAGTTTGCTTTAAGTTGTCATCCATTTGTACGTATTGCATTTTTTTAGTAATTAGTGGGAGGAAATTAGAAAAAAAGTCCTGAGATTTGATTTTTAGGCCATATCGCCCAACCCTACTTAGAAAGTAACTAAGTGATCTTGTCCAGCATTGGAAAGGTTTTTCATGATCTGTTGGCCCTCATCTTACTTGTTGGGGCTAGCGCAGCTATTCTACCTTATTTTAGCTAAATATCTGTTATAATAACCTGTCTGTTGGCTAAGGCCTGACATCTCGAACTCCAAACGGTAATCAGTTTCTGAAGGTTTTACTGGAGTCTGTCCTCTGGTTTGTGTGATATTCACAAACAAGATAAATGCTAGTTTCTTTAGCTTCAATAAACGGGTGAAGCATTAGGTCAAGCAGCTAAGCTAGGGTGTGAAAGCCGATCTTTTGTTACATGTTTGCATCCAACGCATGCTAATTTCTTAGCTCTGTGGTTGTCAGTATTTATGTACTTAAGCCAAAATACAGAATATTTCCTTTGCTCACTAACGCGTTATGTTGCTGTATTTGGTGTAGGACACCGATGGAGTCGGGGGTGTCTTCGCCCTCAAATTGTGGACCTTCCGTGTGCTTTTGGAGCTAATCCATTGGGCGGATCACGCTGCTAAGACTCTCCATGATTTACACTTGCAGAGAGGAGGAACGGATGAGATCTGAATTCCTTCTCTTCCCTCTCTCCGGTCATATTTTGGAATGACCTTACACAACACTTACAACCAGCGTTCTCTTTTAGGTGATCCTACGGTAGCTTTATTATCTGAACTATTCAGTTGAGAAACAAAAATCCCATCTAAGCCCTTATAATGAGTAAACTGCTTTCCCCAGACGTTGGTATTTCCACAGCAAGTGCTAGAGTGACCTCCAGTTTGCAAGCGTTTGGCATTTCCTTTGACGAACCCTTGCCTGCAGTGACATGTGAATTGGTATGCTGTTAGCAGTACCCTACTCGGATGATCCCTTTTGTTGTAAGTCGTAAGTCGTGTGTAAGTTATTTTATTTAAGTTGATTTATGCTGTTTATAACACACCGAAGTCTACTAACTCCTAGAAAGTAACCCAATCTATGTGACTGACAAACTGTGACTGATATGCAGCTAAATGTGTAGCCAAGTACTGAAGTAATAGCCTTCACCGTTAAACTTAACTAACCTCACTAACATTAGTAGTTGGTGTCTTTTACTGGATGTGTGTTGTGTGCACGGTTTGACACGATCTGTGACAAAGTGTCATGTTATGCTGCTCTGTTTAAAAGTGTTTTTACTTCCTCCTGATGTTATACTTGAATGTACCACTGAACTAACAGACCAGCTGGCTTGTGTTTGGAGGCCAGAAACTGTCTGAGAACTACTGTGATATCTTACAGTAGCACTGTAGCCAAAGTATCAAACACTCCTATCGCAATGAAGTCACTGTAGCCTAAAGTAGAGACACTAACCGAGTGAAAGAGTCGCTTCAGACTTAAAGGTAAGGTGAATTTTTGTGAATTTGTGTAAATTAACTGAATGTGCATTAAAAACCCAATCTTAATACGTGTGGAGTGGTTTATGCGATTTATTTTGGTCTTTGAGGACTCCTATACCTCTTTGTTGTATGTGATCCACCATAAAAACAAGTTTATTGGTCTAAATTAATCTAATTAATTTCATAGAAGCAAGTGTAAAAATCAACAATGTTACACATCAAACTGCATTTGTAGCTTAGCGTGAAGACTTTCTAGCCAATAGCTAATTAGCTCTTCATCAGCTGTAGATGATTGTGGAGTGCGGTTCGATCCCAGACCCCAGCTGCCTTTAGCTGCTCATAGATGCAACGCTTCATTCATCAGATAGCACTTTAAGCCTAATTATTTGTCTTAATCACACATTGTTTAGAAACAAAGTCAGGACTTATTCACTAAGGGAATCATTTCAAACTCAAATATTTGGAAAAATTCACAAAGACACTTTTTGCAATACCACTAAATCACAACAGGAGGGCGACATTTGTCCATAGGTTTTGCTTTTAAAATTCAACAGGTTATAATTTCAACCACAGTGGTTTCCCGAAACAGAAACAGAAGTGAGCAGCAACAATAAAATACACGTAATATGCACACTTTCAAATTGTGAAAAGATAATCATAGAAAAAAAAATATTAATGAAGGTTTGAAAATGTTTTTTTAATAACACCAGTAATTCACAAGAAGGCAGTATTTGTCCATCATCCCAACAATGCATGAAAATAAAAGTAGCACTTTGTTAGAACCCACGGATTAAAATAGAAACGACACTGGTATTTCATTATTTCCAAAAGTTCAAACATGATTCCTCACCTACTTATTTGGAATAGAGACACGGGCCACTGGATCCACGCTACCTGCCAAGTGCGTGCTGCTGAGTCCTGATACTGAGGAAACAGCCGATGTTAACATGTGAAACTAGTAAAATTAAAATATGGTGCAGAAGTTCATTTATTTCATTAATCTAACGCCGACCGAGAGACCATCTAAAGGCTCAGGAACCCTTTGCAGGTGTTCTGGATTCATTAGCTTATCGGAGTGTGACACTTTGAGTCTAGAATATTTAACCTTTTCACAATAATGTCTTTGAGATTTTGAATGTGGGGTTTTCATAAGCGGTAAGAGATAATCATCACTATTATAACAAATATAAGCTTGAAATATCCGGCTTTGCATAATGAGTCTATCTCATATATTAGTTTCACCTTTTAGAATTACTGAAATAAATGAACTTTTGCACCACATTCTGATTTTTCCAGTTTCACCTATTGACCATGGCACAGCAACTCGTTACCAAGCATGTGCATGGATTACTAAACCAAAAAAGAAAGTTATTACGACCTCAAAATAATTTCCCCACCTGACCATTGACAAACTGTAAAATAACTTTTAAATAAACCTCTATAATACATAAATAATTATGGGGTTATGGTGGCACAGGAGTTAAGTGTTTGTCCCCTAATCAGCAGAAGGTTGCAGGTTCAAGCCCCGCGCAGTCTGTCGCTGTCATTGTGTCCTTGGGCAAGACACTTAACCTGCTGGTGGTGGTCGGAGGGACCGGTGCTCGGCAGACTCACCTCTGTCAGTGCGCCCCAGGACAGCTGTGGCTACAATGGGTGTGATTGTGTGTGTGAATGACCAATTGTGTTGTAAAGCACCTTGGGGGGTTCCAGGACTCTAGAAGGCGCTATATCAATTACAGGCCAGGCCAAAATATAAAATGTATTAAATCAGAATTATTTCATTGTGGCAGGGACTGAACTAATCTACTTTTCTCCAAACTGAGGTTGTTCAAACACAATATAAGTTTAATCTTTTCATAGAAACACACTTCAAAAGATTTTAATAATGAAATTAAAACACAAATAAGATGAAATAAAAATCCTATAATGAAATGCATATAAATAAGGTAAATAATCCAAATCTCCTGAAATGGGATTTGTAATGTTTTTTTTTTTAATTAAGTCTAACAAATAGCATTTTCTTTGACTTACAGTAATAAACATCATACTACATAGAGAATTTAAGAAAAAAATCACATTCGACAGCAGTGATTTTCCTCTTCCCACCGCTCCTCTGATTTCAGTAGCAACCCTGCCCTATTTACCGGTGCTCCTTAACGCAGCATCCGCTGGTTTTTAACAAGGTGGGGGTGCACCCCATTTTACAGGAGGAACCCCAAGGATGTTGTGCACATGCGCGTTGTGTCCAATCCACCGGAGTGCGATTGGTAGTGAAGGCAGTCCTAATGGCGGAGAATGTACGGTCGCCGTTTGACTACCGGGAACCACCTACCCTCGACAGCGACGGGGATGGGAGCAAGCCGCCGCCGCCACGGGGGTGAGAGAGCACCGCGGAGCCTCCTGTTTGTCACGGAGAACCGTTGTTTTCACTGTGGATTTGTGCGCAAAAAGAAAGAAAAATGCCAGAGCCCCAGACGCACGCGCCGGGAGCGTGCACATCTGTTTAGTCAACGTAGAAGCCAGCCTGGGGCTCGCGTGCATGACGATCCCTGGCGTCTTGTTGCAGAAAAGAACAAAATATTGTACTTGTTTTGTTGCTGTGTGCAGGTGGCGCCTGCCAGAAAACCAGCCAGCAATGCACTAAATGACTCAGCGATTTATTTAGGATGTTTTGACGGCGGAGCCCCAGCTAGCTGCTGGAAGCTAACACGCTAGCTGTGGGTTAGCTTTGATGCTAGCACGAAACCCGCTGTTTGTATCAGCTGTTTTTAGTCAATAAACCCAGACATATCTGAGCTCTTATGACTTAGACTCATCAACATTTACTCCTTTAACGTCAATCGGCTCCCAACGCCTTACGATTGACTTGAATCGCGGCTTGTTTAGCTTTGGCTAAACTTAAGTTGCTAACCACTATCAAAAATGTACCCGAAAGCAGAAGAGCATCAGCGAGCAGCGTGTTGTTTTCGTAATCAGTCTTTTACAGTTGTAGTTTGACGGTGATTGAATGAAGGGGTGGGGCCACGTTATTGTTGTTATGGTTGAATATCACTACCATTAGGCTGCGATCAGAGCTTCCGGTCATCGTGTTTACAATTAGATCAGCACCGGTAGGTCACACACCAGCCGGATATCAGTCCTGAGACCCGTCTGTCTGATCTACTAGAACAAGGAGGAAGACGGTGTCTGCTAGTGAAGGTCTTTATTTGTGTCTTATGCTTTAGGAAATTTAATTTCATGCTATTTAAAGCTTGTAGCTAAGGAGGACACTGCAAGAACAACACAGAGCTGTCGATTATGGAAGTATATCATCACAATAAATTTTAATTAATATCCAAATTACCATAATTTCACACATTTTAAAAAATTCTCATTTTCTAATAAAAACTTAATAAAAGCTGCAGCTGGGCAGCTTGCTAAAATAAAAGCTTCATCTGCACACACACACACACACACACACACACACACACACACACACACACACACACACACACACACAAAGCATCATTGCAGGGTGCATTAGACATTCAGATCTCTGTTTTTAGATGCATATTTAGCAAGAAAATATTTCAATCCCTTATCTGAATCTGTAAAGCCTTAGAGTACAGAGTTCACATTTTAAGGAGGCGGCTGTTTGCAGAGATTTTTCAAAGTAAAGCAAAATAATTTTACACATTTTTTTTTATTACTTTAATTTGGAGATTATTTTAGACCAAAATCTAAATTTAAATCTATTTTATTAGTTACACAGCATTTAACTTTGTATTACCTTTATTGTTACAAGATCTAGTTAATTAAAGATTTGATCGACCATCTCAGCCATGCACTCGGCTCTCTCCTCTGTGAGTATCGTTTTAAGTGCTGCTTTGCATAGAGGTGACAATTTGCCAACTGACAGGTCTTTGTTGTTGCAGGCGTGTGTGTGGGAGAAAAAGGAAGGGGACACCTGTGAAGGTGTGTGATCGAGCATATGTAACAGAGGATGAGGAGGAGGAGAGCATGTCGGAGCACAGCTACAGCCCTGGTATTTATACTAACACGGATCATGTGTGCCACCTGTGTTGCGTATGTTTCACTGTGTATGTTGAAAAACAAACATACCTTTCAACGTGAAACCTGTGGAAGATAATGAAGGTATGAAGTGCTTAAATTAGTCATTTTAATCCCAGGTGATGGTCAGTACCCAGAAGGTGCAGAAGATGGCCTCCCTCCACCTGGAAGTCCCTACTACCTACCTGATCCTACTCAGCTCTGGTGAGCAGCATCCTCACCTTCTAACCTCAAAGCGTCTTTATTGGTATGCTGCTAAACTTGCCTCATGTTTTCCCAGCGTTCCTGAGTTGGGAGAGGAAGGAGCAAGTGGCGTTCGAGGGCCCGTGCTTTTCCACCCACCTCCGAACTGCCGGATTCGTGAAGTCCACTGTGGGACGCAGGTGCGGTTGGTGGTCATTGCAATTCGAGACATCGCCAAAGGGGAGGAGATCACAGTGGACTACAGCCTGACGGACTGGGGAGAGAATGCCCTGGTGAGCTACTGGGAACGTTTCCTGTTGATTATTCTATTAAATAACTCATTGATTCATCTTAAAAATAAGCGGCTTTGGATGTAGAGCACAAAGTAAAACTTTAAATAAAATATTAGGAAAACACAAGAAAGTGCCAATTTCAGCATAGTGACAATGAATAAAATGAAACGTACACTGAACAAAAATATAAATGCAACACTTTTGTTTTTGCTCCCATTTTTCATGAGCTGAACTCAAACATCTGAAAATGAATCTACAAACACAAAAGACCCACGACTCTCAAATATTGCTCTGAAATCTGTCTACACGTGTGTTAGTGAGCACTTTTTCTTTTCCTGGCAACACCAAAACTACCAAAACAAAGAGCAGACATTACATTAAGAAGAATCCGCGCGTTTAAAGCGTCGTCCGTTCTTTCCTAATCCGTTGTCGAATTGTGATCGGCAGAAGCTTTTCCGGTTCGCGCCTCACTTCTTTTTACAGCAGCGGCCCAAAAGATCTCCTAACACATGGATTTTCTGCTTCCTGATCACGTCACCTGTGACGTACGCAGATGAAGATCGGCTTTAGAGCTGAGATGTTTGTTCTCACGGTGCGGGGGCTCGTTCCGACGCCCGCACAGTAAAAAAGAATACAAATGGCGATTTTAATCAGCAATGGCAGTTAATTAATTAACAGTAAAAACAAAAACAAAAAACCAGATTTTTGGGCAGGTTATTTTTTATTTCTTAGACATGAGACTAAGTAATCAGAAAAATAGAGCCATTTTCAGTCATTGTGTTGTAATTATGATATATTAGGTTTGTATTGTTTTTTTTTTTTTTTTACTAATTTAAACGTAGACTTTGTAGCAAATCTGTTTAAAGTCAGCATGTTTTCCTCCTCTTTGGTGCATCAACTATGGCGGCTTTTTGCAGCAGCCATAGATACAAACCACCTCATAAGAATGATTCTGTCCTCCATTTTTTGAAATAAATAAATCAGAAACAGTCACTTTCATACTGGTTTATAAGCCTTATTGTGCATTAGAAATGACCTCAATTTAACTTGCTGTGCTTTTATTTTGAAAATCCTCTGTAACCAGGAAGAAGAAGGTGGTCCTCACCCGCTGTCCCTCTCTGTCTCTGATTACCTTACCCCTTCCTGGTCGTTGTCGCCCTCCTCCTCCCCCCTCACCCACTCTGAGCCCAGTGACTCAGACCGAGAAGAAGATGAAGAGGAGGAAGACGATGATGACGACGACGACGATGAAGAGGAGGAAATCGAGGAGATAAGGGGCCGGATGCTTCGCCGCCGCAAGAAGCGCAAGATGCCCACAGCGGTCAATTCAAAGAAGAAGAACGCTTCCACCTCCTCCAGGGGACCGGGTCGCCCCTGCTCCTCCTTTTCCCGCCCAGCGCCTGTCACCCCCCCGACACGATCTCAGCCCCCAGTCACCTCTTTAGCTCCACCCACCACTAACATAAACAATAACATCAACATAAACATCGGTAGTTCCAGCAGTAGCACGACAAGCCGGCGGCAGCACTGCCCGTACTGCGGACGCAACTACCGCTCTCTAGCTCGCCACCTGGAGAAATACCACGCCAACCAACCGGAGGTCCGAACCGCCATGGAGATGGCTCACGTCCACACCAACAGCTCTTCAAACGGCAACGCTTCACACCCTTCCTCATCCTCCACCTCTGCTTCTCACAGCCATTCATTCGCTGTCCCTCAGCAGTCTGCCTCCAACTCAACGCAACCCTCTCTCTTCTCCAGGGAGCGGGAACCCACAGCCACACGCTCAAGCCCAGGCGGCGTCTCCTTCTCCTTGTCGCTTTCGCCTTCGCCGCCTCGCTCAGCTCAACCCCCACCTGCTAAGAAGGCGTCAATCCAACCGCCTCCTGCTGCCAAACTACCCTCACCCCCGATGGTGACCCGAGTCAAGAGCCCATCGCCGCCGCCTCCTCCACCGACTCCCAGACGGGGCCGAAGAATGAAGAAAGAAAAGATCGAAGAGCAGCAAAAGGTGGAGGTGGAGAGCCCGGTAAACCCGGAGGAGCTGCTGCCACCTCTTACGCCAGAGCCGGACATTGATCCGGAAGAAGATCTGGCGTTGAGCGCAGACGGGGAAGACGACGCGCCGGAGAAGAACGGAGAAGTTGCAAGGTGCGGTTGGGTTCTGTACGCTAAGCTAGTAATTGTGTGTGTGTGTGTGTGTGTGTGTGTGTGTGTGTGTGTGTGTGTGTGTGTGTGTGTGTGTGTGTGTGTGTGTGTGTGTGTGTGTGTGTCTGCGTCTGCTCTGTCTTCTCCATCCCCAGTGAGTCGTGGAGGATGGCTGCTTATACTGAGCCAGGATTCTCTGGAGGTTTCTTCCTGTTAAAAGGGAGTTTTTCTCTCCACTGTCGCTAAATGCTTGCTTAGTATGAGGATTGCTGTAAAGTCGCTGACACTAGTCAGTGACTTGATGCAATTTGCTGGGTTCCTTATATAGGAAACATTATTTCTGATTGGCTTAATGAACTGACCTGAATTGGAATGTTTGTTATGTGAAGTGCCTTGAGACGACTCTTGTCATGATTTGGCGCTATATAAATAAACTTGAATTGAATTGAATAATTCATTACATCTTTTAGGTTCCATGTTATAATTACTTGTTCATGTTTTGTTATTTCCAGCACACACAGACAACACATGTCTCCACTGCTGTCCTCCTTGTCCTGTTTGGTGGTCTACCTCCGTCGGCAGCAGCACTCTGCTTTCCTCTCTTTGACCCGATCTCCTAACTCCGCTGAGGCCTGGCGTCTGCTCTGTCACTCCAGCCTCTCCCTGCTCATCCTCTACAATCGACACCGGGAGTGTGAGGTGGCCAAACTCACCATCCAGGACTACCACAACCGCATCAACCCACAGTCCAGCTCAAACGCCAGCTCCCCCTCCGGTATCGAAGCCCTGCTGTCCCCCTTTGAGCGCCACGTCCTTGGTAATCTCCCTCGGGCGGGCGTTTTAGGGAAACGCGGTCGCGTCCAGCCGCTGATTCTCCCACCTCAATGCGAGTCCTGCCTGGACCTGCTTCTTCGCACCAGTCCAAATGTGGGGGTGGACCCTGAGAGCCCCTATGTTTTTTCCCGGCCCTACCACTCCCCCGCCACTCCTCTTCGTGGAACAGACCTGCTGAGAAACTTGGCTCGGGCCAGCGGAGCCAAGAATGCCGGAGTTGTGACGGCAACGCGAGTGCGGCGGCAGGTGGCCATACTTACCCAGCTGCTGCTGTTGGAGGAGGGCGAGGGTCAGTGTGGAGCCATCAAACGGCTGGAGGACTTCCTGGAGATGGAATACCAAGTAACCCAGAACTGCTCCACCATCATGAGAGATCCGGCACTGATGGGCCGCGTGGGTCGTGTTGTTCTTTATGGAGAGAAGGAGGGCGTGCTTTTCAGGGGAATGAGCCTGCAGGACATTTGCCTCGAGTTGGACGGTAAGGAAACTGGCAGTTTGAAATAAAGTTTATAAATGCTTTTGTTTTTCTACTGGCACTTTCTACTTTGCCTAGTGACACTTCTGATGACCCCTAGCTACTTTCTCTAGAACTTTGTCGTTATTCCCTGCACATTAGCAACAGACCCCCGTGCCTCTGGACCGTTCTTCCAAACGCTCAGAAAGAGAATGATCAGCGTGGTCAGTCCCGTTACGTCCACTGACCAATCATACACCTTTCTCAATTGATCTCACAAAACAAGTGGTTTTACAAGCAAAACCTTCTCAGCTGTCTAGTGGTAGAGTGTTCGCCCGGGGACTGGGAGTCCTGGGTTCGATCGATTCGTACCGAAGACTTAAAAAATGGGACCCAACGCCTCCCTGCTTGATACTCAGCTTTAAGGTGTTGGATTGGTGGGTTAAACCACCAAATGGTTCCTGACCGCAGCCACAGCTGCAGCTCACCGCTCCCCACGGGGATGGGTCAAATGTGGAAATGTAATTACTCCAGTGTGATGATGACTATGGGATTTCTAAACAAATTTAAGGTACAGTAAGCCATATCCATATTGGATAGTAAGAGAACAATGACCACCTCTTGACTTTTTCATCAGTTCGCCAACATGATGTGTCATTATGATGTCCGCAATTTGCAAATTAGCATGTGTACACATCTCGCGACATCTATTGACTATCTGGGTAAACGTTAGCCACTGAGAGGAAGTGAGTAGCTTTAATGATTCGTAGGGCAAGATGCTTTAATCACGAGACATTCATTAGAAAAACCACACCGTTCATAGTTTGTTCCGTGCTTTTTGAAAACTTTAACTGATGTCTAATTAAGGTTTTCTCCTGTTTTATACTTAGTCCTTGTTTCTCACTTTGTATGCATAAAAGGGTTAGGTGTTACCAAACAGCTGGAGTGTAATTGAGGGACAGCCGGCAGGTAAAGTACCGCTCATTCATTTTGTGGGATGGCAGGAAAAAAAAAGGAAAAGAACTATATTTTAGGACTATCAAACTCTAAGACCCAATACATTACCCAAACAGCACCAAGTCAACTGTTGGTGTATCTGATTAAAACGGTATTCCCTAAAGACACAATCGGTCTTTTTAATGCAAGACGTAGCTCCCTTAATCCACCTGCATGAAGCAAAGTAAAGAGAGGAAAATGTCTAAAAGAAGCTATTACTATCTGTCAGCTCTACCAGTGTGTCTTAACAATAAATCATAAATGCAGAGATTCTGCTATGAGATGAATGCAAGTCATTTAGACCAACGTGTACGTCTTCTTACGAAGGATATCAAAAGTTTGTGAGTAACTTTGATTTAAAAAATGTAAATAAAGAGGTACTTCACTGACTAAAACATTTTTAGTTATTCTGATTATAATCAGTCACTTTAAGTTTTTCATGCAGGCTGAACATTAAAACAGCCACCTACACCTATCTCCTGCATAGATGTCACTTAACATTCACGGACTCACCCATTTTGGCTCACGACAGGAAAGGCTGTTGTTCAGCTAACCGTTAGCATTAGCAACTCCACCACACAGCAGAACTCCTGCAGGCTTGTGTTATTTGTGGAGATAAAACACCAACGTTGCAGAGCAAACAGAATCTGTGGTAGAGTTGCAACATGTTGCTGTTAGCCAATCAGAGGCGAGATGTCCAAATATCAGGAACTAGAGGAATCTTGGAATACACTTCCACCCTTGTGCCCATAATGTGCAATCCCGACCAGCGGTGCGAGTGCGTAGGGTGTCTCGATTCCCAAGTGTTGAAGTTGATGATGCTCCTTTTGTGCCCTTTATCTGAACTTCACCCAAGTGTGCATCGATGTGGACTTGGGAGTGTATTACCCAGAATCCATTGCTACAGGAGAACAGGCTCGTCACGCTCCTTTTCTGAAAAAAAAAAAAAAGTATTTTCTAATGAAAGTAGTTCATTTTAGGATGATTAGTTGATGCTCTAAAACTTTTAGACAAAGCTGCGAAGAATGTATAATTATGTCAAATTATTCATTGTTTGTTTGAAAGTTGTTAAAGTTTAAAAAATAATATAAGTATCGCAGCGACCAGCATCCGGGCATGTGGTGTGATCGATGACGCAGTGCATCCTGTGTCAATTAGGTAATTATGTGCACACTTGTGTACCGTGCACTTTCTCCAAGTTCACTTTGCTGAAGACCGCAGGGCGAGTGTTGGGCTTAAGACTCCAAATTCTGCTGTATTTTGCTCACTTCTAGTACTTGAAACAGGAGTACAGACTTATTCTATACTAAAACACACACTTTCCTGTAACTGACAGCAGATTTTCATTTGCAACACTGACGTCGTATTCGGGTTTCCCCTCTTTGTGCAGTGATGTCTGGAAACTCGGCAGATTCGATCACAGACGATTCTGAAGCAGAGGAGGAGAAAGAAGTTGTTAAGGAAAAGGTCGAGGTGCCGGTAAAGAAGAAGGGACGGGGCCGACCCCCTCGGAAGAAGAAAGCCCCTGCTCATCCACCTTCGGTAAACCCACCGGGCGCCAATAACAAGAGGAGGTCCACTCCAGTTAAGTCAGGTAACATTCTAGAACGTTACGGTGCATTTGTATTGTTTTGCCGCTTGCTTGTTGGCAAATATTAACCAATTAGTGTATATTAACGCATTCCTCAGGAAAACGTGGCGTGCTGAAGCGCCCCTGGTCAGAGGCGGAGCGAGTGGCGGTGGAGACTCACCTCAACAGAAACCTCCTGGAACTGCGGGTTCCTGCGAAGGCAGACTGTGAACGCTGCCTGGAACTCTGCCCCCTGCTGGTGAGCAACCACCGAGACTGGAGAGCAATCAAGTTCTACGTCCACAACCGCATTCAGCTGATGAAGAAGCAGGGGAGGAGGGAGAGCGCCAACGCAGTCAGCTAGAGGACGGATCCGGCAGCGTAAAAAAGCACCAGCAGTGGAAAAACTGGCTCAAGTCACGGTGTCTGTTTTTAGTTGGTGTCCAGGTCTCGTCACCCTGGATGTAAGGGACTAGTGTAATAACAGTCAGTAAGCTAAAACGGACACGTGTTGAGGATCATTTGTACTCTTGTGTTTGAGGTTACCTAATGTATGTTTTGGGATGCATTTTAATGGACAATAACTATCTGAAAGCATTTTTTAAATTGTTTTAATGTTTACTTTGTCAGTGGAGTAAAAATGGAGGACTTGTGAAAGAGCTGGTAAAAAGGCAGCAGCAATCTGGGTCTGCTTTAAACCACCCGGACATGCCACAGCAGACCAGTCCTGTCCTGAAGGCTGGTGACCAAACGTGAATGGAAGCTTTCGGGGACGGTCCAGTTCTGGTTGTCCACAGGAAGACTACCTGGACTCGTGAACGTGCACAATATGTGTCTGATGCTGACTTTGTGTCCCCTCCTGTATTATAAAAGTATCATTTGGTGTCTCAGACCACGTTGCACCTGTTAAGTGTTTGTTGCATACCTCTGTACCATGATCATAGACTAGTATGTGTCTCGGCACACCTACTTGAACTGAGAATCATTTTTAAAGGCGACATATTTCTGAATGGGTCTTATTCATAATGTAAGTACTTCTTAATCTATAAAAGTATACAGTAGTGAGTACACGTTCTGACTGTGTTGTGTAAATTCTGTAAATACTTCCTGTACTTATTAAAGTGTCTGACATTTTGCTGTTTCTTACAACTGGATTGTTGAGTTTTACAATGTGAAACAAGAAATGACAAATACAGATGGATGTTTGTGCTTTATTTATAAACATCACAACATATCAAGTGTAAATATAACGTCATCACACGATGCACAGAAAACAGCCGTTATGGATATGTTTATATGAAGTGTTTAGGTGGTACACACACATTTAAAGACAATAAAAAGCATTTGAACACAATCTAGCTGCAGGAAAATCAAAGCTGCCAAAGTGTTTAAAAGGACTTGCTAGGATTCATGTAGTGGGTCATGTTTTAACATTCCGTAGCTCGTCTGTCTACAATTTCTAAGCTTATTTTGTAAATCTTTGATTTTTCTTTACAATTGACACTTGATTTGATACATTAAAAAAGAAAACCGGCGTAAATATTTAAAAACAGCTTGTTGCATTTGCCCAAAATTGCCTTTACAGTCAAAACCTGCAGCCGGGCCTTTTCCTTCATTGCAATTCAAAATATTCTCAAAATGTTTAAAAAACAAAATACAGCTGAGTGGGACACAAAGACTTACATGCAACAAAAAGTCACATTTCACACACCTTCACAGCTATTATGCAAATTACATTTAACCCATACTTCATTTAAATGACAAAACTGGAAAGTTGAGTAGGAAGAATGTGGATTTAGGTCAGTTTGCTGTCTAAAGAGTCCCATTATAAACATTTAAGCCGAGCACAAGTCAGTCAATGCATTTATAGAGTACATGTAATAATTGTTATTACACTCAGCATGAACATTCAAATATTTCAGATAAAGTTACAATCATAAAGATGACACGAGTCCTAGAGTGAGTTTTCTGAGGATAATGTAAATGCAGGATTTTTCTTTGATCTGATGAAAATATGTGCTGTGAAATGAATAAGTTGAGCTGGGTATTCAATTCTGGGCCTGGAGGGCCGGCATCCTGCACGTTTTGGTTTTGACCCTGCTTCAACACACCTGATTTCAGTTAGTAGGTGATTAACAGGCTTCTGGAGAGCCCGATGAGCTGCTGCACAGGTGAATCAACCACTGAATCAAATGTGTTGGAGCAGAGAAACCACTAAAACGTGCTGGACACCGGCGCTGCAGGCCCAGAATATAATAGTAGACTTTTGTGTTGTGCATTTACTCAGTGTCTGAGGCCACACGTAGCTGGATTTTTGTAAAAGCGAATACCCTCCCCCGCCCATCGAGGAAAAAAACTTGGGTCCACATCACCTCGTTTTCAGCAAAACAATAAAAAATAAAAATCATCCACACCTTACTGCATAAGTGCGTTGTTAACCCTCCCACTGTCTTTATGGGTGACTCTGCGAGGAAAGTTGACCATTGAGCAGGATTGATGGTTTATTCCTTGGGTCCATGTGGCAGGGGTGAGGAGTGAGCACCACCTCACCCCTGCCACATGGACCCAAGGGATAACCATCAATCCTGCTCAATGGTCAACTTTCCTCACGGGGTCACCCATAAAGACAGTGGGAGGGTTAAAGAGCAAGTCCCCCCACCACAGTCTAAAGCTTGGTTTATGCTTGACGCATTTACTTTCCGCTTGGTAATGCAGCTCGCGGATGGAACGGGCTTCACAACTTGCAGCGTTTATGGTTCATGCGGCTCGTCTCTGCGGTGAGCCAATATTCTCCCAAACTGTAGGGGGCAGCATGGAGCTCTACAGCATGCATCCAACACTACACCATAGTAGAAGTAGAAATTACTGTTTACAACATGGCATTCCAGCATTTTTTAACAGCGTCCTCGACTTTTCCGACAGTGCGAGCTATTTCTCTCCAAGAATTATTAACAACATGTTGATCACGGTGATCTCTGAGAGCTGAATCATACAAATGTCTATATTTACGAACCTCTGCCATACTAGTTCTTGCCAGTCCGCCATGTTTTCCGCGACCGACCGTCTGCGTGGTTACAAAATTTCCTAGGTGAGCGGTGCAGAAAGTTTGGGCAGTGCGGAGGCGCGGTGGGGGGGCGTGGTTGTTAAAATGACGCAATTTTGCCGCGCGGAGCCGTGCAAACCTCGCGGACGCGTCAAGCATAAACCAAGCTTAACTCCACCCAAATGCCATTTGAAAAATGCACCAAAAGGAGGGACGGCCTAGCAAACTGAAAGGGCGGGGCTGCCCCCACCAGGAGATTTCCATCTGAGGAATAAATTGCTAACAAACACAAACACACACTTGACTGAAACAGAGAAACAGCACCAGGCTTCCTACTGTGAAGGAGGAGGGGAATGGCCCTGAGCCATATCGTTTAGTGATTGGCTGAGTCAGCCAAAGGCTTATGGGGACTCAGCTGCAGTAGTGCAGCCACGTGCATTAGCAATGGCCGAATCAAATTTAATGTAGTGCTCAGTTTAAACCCAAAGAGGGCGCTACACTGATGGTTTCAGGCAGAACATTTATATTTTAAATTGAATGCACAAAAAATGCCAAAATGTGTGTTCACAACACAATTCGACATTCATTTATACAGTTTATCAACAAAAAGAAATAATTTAGGGGTGATTCTCTAGAACATTCATAGGTGTGCCAAACCTGTATGTGGCAATAGTTCCCCAAGTCCTATCCATGGGGCACCCCACTCATCCAGAGCTGCTCCCAGAGTGCCAAAACGTGCAGTTCCACTCTCATCCACTATTATTTACTTATTTATTTCTAGACTGATGGTATCCTCAAAAATTTCATCAAATTGTTAGACATTACAAAAAGATGCATTTTTGTAACTGAAAATCTTAGGGTTGAAAAAAATGCAGGTGTGAGGTAATTATCTCAGTACCACTGAAGTGTTTGGATTGTAAATTACTAAAATTGTTGCCTACATTCTATAAATTGATTATTTTTCAGTGAATAAAGCCACATTTAAATTTTGGAAGTTTTAAACTCGTAAAAGCCTCTAAAATTTGGTGTTTCATTTCTGTATCCATGACTGGATGCATGTGAAGTGAATTCATTCCCTTCTGTCCTTCATTTATTTGGAATTATTTAAAAAAATTTGTATGTGTAAAAACAAGAGTGCAGGGCAAAAGTACCATGCTGAGATACACAATGTTTACTTTCTCAGACAAGTTTTACTTCATCTGCTAATGATGATCAGACGTCATCGTTACACTCAACCTGCTCTATCTTCTGTATTATCTCCATAACTGACGTGTCACCTCTCCCAGGGTTGAAAAATGGAAAGATTTCTCCTTTAAACTTAACTGCCAACGATATAATTAGCTGTTTCTCCTCCACATTGTAAAAGGAGAGTTCTTCAGAGTCAAAGTCTAAATAAACACCGACTGTCTCTGGTCTTGACTGGACATGAAGAGACGTCTCCGGGTCAGTGCTATACTGGATGGTATCTCCTGGACCAGAAGAAGACAGGAACCAGAAACCATTAGATATGTTAGGAGACAAACTGCTGTCCTGAGGGATTTCAGGTCTGTTTGTTACTCCGATCCACCAGGACTGTTTGGGTTCACAGTGGTTATCTTTTAGAGAAACCTCCCAGTAGTGTTGTCCAGTAGAGAATCCACATGTTCCTCTGATGGCTGTGAGACAGGTAACTCTAGTGTCTCCATCTGGAAACCATTTAGCATCTCTTACTCTAGACCCTCTGATTGTTAGGTGTGGGTTTTTTGTGTCCATGAGTTCAACATTCACTGTTACAGAAAGAAAACCTGATCAGAATCATGAAAGTAAAAAATAAAAAGTGATTTCCATGAAATAAAAAATTACCGTAATGCTTGGAAGGCTCTAACAGAGCTGTTGGTACCACCCTTCCTGTAGCAGAGCAAGAGGAGAACACAGCAGTTAAACATCTGGTTGCTCTAAAGGTTTGGTTTGGTACCTTGTATGCGTACCTATTGGCAGGAGTGCTTCAGCCTCTGAGGAAAAGACAACAAGATGCTTTTAAACCATGAATATTACGTCTAGAACCATCTTTAGTTCTAATACTGAAAATATATGAGTGATGCTACTTGGAGATGTTTCTATATTCCCATTTAAACTCAGACATTGGGCGTAAACCCCAGAAACGTAAAGTAAAAACCCGAAAAGCTTCACATGAAGCTCTGGTCTTACCTTCAGAGAGTTTCTGCCCTGAAACACAAAAACACGACAAAGTTGTTCAGTAAACTTCATTATGTGGTTTAAAGATGCAGATTGAAAATAGGAAAACAACCACTAAAAACTAAGGTGTCGATTTTGTTTATTTACATACTTCTTAACTTATTCAAATATGAATTTTTCATAAATGTTTAGTTGTGATTATTTATTTCATGCTTCAAAAACATGATCCTGTTGAGAGGAGTGGGCGGGATTTTCAGCCTCACGTAATGACGCTATCATATCTGCACTTCCTGTAACAGATGATGATGTCACTGAACCAAATGTAACTGAGTACTTCTTTATACTTAAGTATTACAACAGAGTAATAAACAGTTTCATGTGTCCTACCATCAGGTTGGTCACCTCCTGATTCAGACTTCTTGACTGAAACAAAAACATGAATTGGTTTCTACACCAGTCTGTACTCATTTTTACAAAGTCAACAGATTCAGGAGTAAAATGTTCTCATCTGGATTAAATATTTACATCTCTTTCTGAAGTACACAGCTCCAGCTGCAGCTAATACCACCACCACCACCACCACGAGTATCCCAAAAGCCACCCATCCATCTGAGGAAGGTTCTGACGCTGAAAGAAAACAAAAAACTTGTGTCTCTTATAAATGTGGTTATTTTTTCATTAAAAAATAATACATTATCTATAATTTATTTACCTTCTCGTAGTGATCTTTGGTGATTTGTCAGCTTTAATCTGACCTCTCTGGTCACTTGATTAGCAACACCAACAGAGCAGGAGATTTCAGACGAGTTGGAGACAAGAACCCAACTGTGGACTGAGTAAAGACCAGTAGAGTCTCTGTCATATTTCACATTACTGGAGGTCAGAGCTTTATTCTTGTGTGACCAGAGCAGCTCAGGCTGTGGATACCAGCCCTCAGATTCACAGCTCACTTCCACCATGTTAGCCTCTTTCCACACTGCTGTCAGAAGAGGAGGATTTCCTGTTTCTGTGATAGAAGCAGAATAATCATGTGATGAGATGAGTTACCCTGATAGATTTGGTGCGTTTATTAAACTCACCTGTCACATTGAGAGCCACAGTTGAGCTCCCATAGTCCTCTGAGCTGCTGACAAAGCAGGTGTAGACCCCTGCATCCTGAATCGTGACGTTTACCAGCTTCAGACTCACATCACCTGCCTTCAGCCCACCAGATGCTGCATCTTTTAAACCAAATGAGACTCGGCCAACATATGAAGCACTCTGGGATCCACTTTTGGCTTTGTGAGTCATGACGGTGTTATCAAAGTTTTCACTGCCACGGTACCAGCGTACCTCCAGATTCTCAGCACTCTGGGGGGGGCGGAGCCAGCAGGGTAAAGTGGCTGTTTGGTTCCTCTGCACCAAGATGGACGTCTCGCCCACAACTGCAAAGTTCTCTGAAACTGAAAAGTCAAACTGTATTCAACAAAAGAAATAGAAAGTACATTCTTCAGACATAATGGAGTGTGTGTTTGCGTGTGTGTTCACTGATCACTCAACATCTTTTGTTAGGGTTCATTTCAGGTTAAGCCCTCCCTCAGTACTCCACCAGGCTGTCAGGATGCTCTCTACTCTGTCTGACGCAGACATGTTTATGCGTTTAGCAGACACTTTTGTCCAACAGGTGATAATGAAGATAGCAGGTTGCGCTTGAGGCTAACAACAAACACTAATCAGTCAATCCTAGGTGGTAGAGAGACAGCATGAGTCGTAGAGGGAAGTGAACAAGGAGTGGACGGTAGAGTGGGGGGCGGGTGCTGGGAGCAGGCGCGCATATAGGGTGGGGGACGGGGGGGATCTGTCCCCCCCAGATTCAGATTGACCCCGATTCGTCCCCCCCAACTAAGGGCAGAAAGAAAACAAAATTGGAGGTTAAGCACTTGAAGCTCCTTTTTCCAATGACATTGAATGCAGCATGACGTAAACAAACACCGACTCCAGAGGCGCCAAAGTGGTTGCTGCTAGGATACAAGATGAAGCGAAAAGGCAAACAACGATTACTGCATGTTTAAAAAAGACCAACAGTGTAAGTAGGCTGGACCAATCTGTCTGTTTATGCATGTTGGTTCTAGTTTCAGAGTCCTTACTCTGAGAGGCGCTATACAAGTGCGGATCATTTATCATTTGTAGTGTTGGTCAGGCGGAACTTTGTTGCATAATGGCTTCAGACACGTATATAAAAGTGTTGGTTTTTACATAAACCATTGGAAGAAATTACACAAACTGACTGAGCTCTAGTTAAGGCGCTTGCAATAGTTTGTGTATGTGTATGTGCGTGTGTGTGTGTGTTTGGGGGAGGGTACATTGGAATTTTGTCCCCCCCAGTTTGAAAATCCTATCTGCGCCCCTGGTTGGGAGGGTCTTAGTTTAGAAGAGCTGGGCCTTCGGGACTTGGAGGCAGTCTTTGTAGAAGCTGCTGATGAACAAGCTTTTATTTATTTTATGTTAATTTTACGATTTTCTTCTCAGTGAATATTATAGCCAAGACCGTTTTCTAACAGATTCAAAGTGCAGCTCGAAGCAAATGAGTATCTGGAAATCTAAACAGATGCTGGTGAAAAAAAGATGGGTGGGGGGGGGGGGGGGGGGGGGGGGGGGGTAATGTGAAATACTTCTCCTCTCAGTCCATAATAAGTGATATAATGAGCTGTTGAAAAATGACTACAATTACAAAACAAACAATAATTTCCCTCCACCAAAGAAGCTTTGAACAGAAAGATTAACTTTCTGTAAGACTTGTTAAAGTTAATTTTCAGATTTACAGATAGACAATGATTGTAACACTACAATAAATACACAGGCTTGTGTGAGCCTTTAAGAGAAACTGCAATCAGTAATCCTGTGTCTCAATCATCTGCTCAAAGCTCGGCACCTCAAAGCAAAATACTCATCTTGGCCAGTAGGTGGCAGTAACACAATTTAGCAATTGAGTTAGAAATGCGCTTTCAACAACATAATCCCAAAAAGAACAAATAAACACAATTTACAGCAACAGCTATGATGTCATCTTCTTTTGAAATCAACTGTGTGTGTGTGTGTGTGTGTGTGTGTGAATGAGGAAATGACAGAGTGAAAATGAGATCCAGCACCTTTTAGCATGCTAGCAAGTTGTTTTCTGTATCGGGGTGCCGTCAACCAGCGCCTCAGAGATGAATGTTGATTGGTCCAAAACTGTCCAGTTCTCCCTAGCACCCAAATGTGATTGGCTGTTAAGCTGCAGTTCAGCAGCACTTTTTCTAGCGTAAATCATTTAGACTGCATGTAGGCACAGACTTTTAAGCCAATCTGACACATTTATAGTAAATATACATTTACTGGCCAGAAATGTGTGATGTGTCCAAACCATTCTGGATTCACGTGAATAAATAAATGCCCCAATGGCCAATCAGAGGCCTTGGGGGCATTTACTTATATATATATTGGATACTGTGAACTATATTCACTAAGGGTACGGTTGCTTATAACCTTTTCCTTAATTTGAAAATTGCGTACTTATTAACTCAGGTCATCTCTGATGGACATTTCATGTTTTTTGCAGATTTGAAACATTAAGTATAAAAAACAAAGTAAATCTATAAGGATAAACATGTTATACAGTAGCATATAGGAAAATAGATAGGCTACGAATGATTAGATTACTCAAAAGTCCTGACTGAACAGATGTGTGATAGAGGTTTTTCAGGAACTTACCGGGAGCAGAGAGGCTCGACGAAACAAAAAACATTAAAGACCACAGATGGTTCACTTGTCCTGTAACGTGACACACTGTGTTAGGCATGACAGCTACAACAACTGTGATGAACCTAGGGTGACCATATTTCCATTTACAAAGGACGACAGGGATTCTGTGCCTACTGAAGACATCACACTAGGGATGTGAATCTCAGAGCAACTAACGATTTGATTTGATTCCGATTCTCGGGGTGCCGATTCAATTCAGAATTGATTCTCGATTTAAATCGATTCACAATCAATATTAACAAAGAGTGTCAGTTCCAGGATAAACTACTTTGTTGTGCAAGTTAGTTAAAACTATGGGACATTTTTATTTTACTTTAAACTGGTCATGCCTCGCGCCGGCGCTCCAGCCGCTTGCAAGCCGCGGGTGAATCGCGTCAATTCTGGCAGACCTGTCAAACCTAGACATAAGAGGCAGGCCGGTAAATTTAACAAAATAAAGCATTTCAAAATAAAATTCCGCAATAGTCAAATGTGTTCGTAATCAGACACTGCAGAAAAACCACACGAACACACACACACATACACACACATCGAACTTGTGTGCGTGTGTGTGACCACGTGAAGGGGGTGTGGTTTTGGGTGTCTTTTTTTCTGGAGCAAACAGGACAGAGAGGCAGAAAGTCTGAGGCAAGCAGTTAAGATGGATGAAATTAAATTAATTATGGAAGTAGAGAAACACAAGGAGCTGTACGATCCCCGAAAAACATGATTATTTACGTACCCATTTCGGAAGAAACTGCTAGGATACAGCTGCAGAATTGGAGCGGGTTCCAAGAGATTCAACTGGCAGAAACAACTGGTTCATACCATAGGTTCACACACACACACACACACACACACACACACACACACACACACACACACACACACACACACACACACAGTCACAATAGTAAATACTGAAAGTGGACTAACTTAAGAAGAATGGAGTTTTGGACAGAAAGAGCACTGATGTTTCAGCTGGACTCACGACCCACAAGGACAGACTGATACGGCAGCCACACTTTTAAGTAATCATCAGGTCTGACTGAAACAGCGTTTCTGCCTTTTACAGGTGGACAGAAAAAATAATAATGTTGACACATTGTTGATAATATTACTACATTTCAAGGCTTTTTCAATACAGTGAAATTAGTTGAAACAGAGCCGAGTTGTATTAGAAAACAGCAATCCGCACAGCCCGACAGCCCGGCGAATCTGGGATGAATTAGTGCTGCCTCAACCTCCTCGTCTTTCATTGGGTCACTGGAGTTTAAATTAAGTGGATGAGAAACCCATGGGGAGGGCTCTGCATAAATGAGAGTAAAGTTGAATTTTAAACGCGTTAAAACTGTCACAAAGTGGCGTTAAAAGCGGCGTTTTATGTCACAGAACGGCGAAAAAAGCGGCGTTCAATGTCCGTACCAAACGCCGTATTTTACGCCACCCACACAGAGAACGCGTCTGGGATTAGGGTGATGTAAAAAACGGCGTTCAATGTCCGGAAAAAACGGCGTATTTTACGGGCGTTCTACGGGACCGTTCAGAACGGCGTAAATTACGGCGTTCTGGCAGAGTTTTCGCCGTATTTTACGACGTCTTGGCACATCAAACGGCGTTTTTTTCGCCATTTCTTAACTAGACGGGTTGGGAAAGTGGCGTATTGTGACGGGTTTGGCTTGCCAGAGCTGTGGACCCAATGCGCGTGCACAGGTTGTGGCACGCTTTAAACGCCATACACGTCTGATCTGAACTGAGGAGCGGCGAGCAGCGGCCGAATTTCGTGAGCGATTCGCTTCTCGGCGCTTCCGCGGCCGGTGTGTCCCGGCGTTAGAGCTGCAATGGATCTCTACACTTACCCATGTTGCCTTGTACTCCGGTGATATGAGCACCAAACAGCTGGTAGCAAGTCCGGAGCTGCGCGATGTTTTATCACAGCTGGAAAAAGAGAGAGAGAAAAATTGCTTTTAAAGACTGAACCAGCCGCGAGGTCACGTCTACTTTCATTTTCAGTTTAGAAACACTGTAACGCGATACGTGGGCGCGCCTATAATAAACGTCATTTCCGGAAAAAACATTTAGCAGAAAGAGTAAAAACTCACAGTTGCAACTGTTTTCTGCCATCATTTAGATATTTTTGATTTTTCAGATCAACATCTGAATGTTTTAGTCATGTGCTAGAGTGATTTTTATTTACAGAGATACAAATGTGTCTCTTGTGAATTTGACTTGAGGTATTAGTTACCGGCATGTCATTTTTAACTTTCAGTCATGTACTAAAAAAAAAAAGAAATCCCATCTGTCCACAACAAGTTAAAACTATTTCAAATTTGAAAATAAATTAGAAAAATGTTGAAAACATTTGTTTCCATGCTTATTTGTTTATTCGGGGTGCTCTTTTTTTGTTTTGTTTGTTTTTGTCATTGCTCATCACCATCAGAGTGTGAATGTGTGTAGCAATGGGTCAATGACTGATTGTGTTGTAAAGCGCCTTGGGGGGTTCCAGGACTCTAGAAGGTGCTATATCAAATACAGGCCATTTACCATTAATTTGTTTATCTATTTTAGGAGGAAGTCCTCTGTAATTCTGAGACATGTGTTACATGTTTTATCCAGTAGGTGGCAGCTGTAGCATTTAATACTGTTGTACTGGCAGGCTCATGTTATTGATAATAAAAGCAATCTGCAAAATCACTA